TCTTTTTATTTTTTAATATATATTAACAAAATATAAATTTTTTAAATATTTTATTAATATATAGTTGACAAAATAGAACGAAATGTATTTTTTCTATTTTATTTTATTTTACTTTTATTTTTGGATTTTTCTATTTATTATTATTATTATTTTATTTCTTCTTATGTGTTTTTATTATTTATTTATTTTTAGATTATTTTTATGTTTATTTATGTATGCGTAGTTGTGCATTTGGAGAGAATGATGACACATAACGGCACGTATATAACACGTAGGAAATTAAGTAAATTTATAATGCCACGTCATCATCTAATCCGTCCGTGAGGGACAACAAAATGTCTGTTTTGTTGACAACGCCAACTTAGTGTATCATTTTTGAAATTTTGTCGGTGAATGCTTAACAAAATACTTGAATCATATTAATGTCAATAAAAATTAAGCATTATTATTGGTAAATGCTTAACAAAATACACCCAAACTTACCAAAATACTCGAGTACAGAATAGGAGTAATTCACGCTATAAATCTCATATTTAAAATTTGTGTATTGTTCTATCATATTCAAATCCGATGGTGGTGTTGATTTCTTGCATGACCTGCACACTCTAGAGTTCTTAAATAGTATAAAATGTTCTGGTGTTCCAAATCATGAATTGCACTTAAAGTTGGGACTTCTGTCATGTTGTTGAGAAACATTGACCATTCGACTGGACTGTGTAATGGAACACGCTTGGTGATACCGAAGCTTTTCACTCATGTGTTTGAATGTAAGATTCTAGCAGGATCAAATGTTGGACATAAGATATTGGAACCAAGACTTTCCCTAACTCCATCTGATCTCAGGATACTCTTCAAGTTCCAGCGTGGACAATTTACTCTTATGTTTTCTTACGCAATGACAATCAACAAGAGTCAAGAGCAGTCGTTATCCCATGTCGGACTTTACATGAAAAGACATGTGTTTATTAGTCATGGTCAATTATACGTTGATGTGTCTCGTGTCACTAATCCACAGGGATTGAAGATATTAATATGTGGGGGGACGATAATGGGGAAAAGAAAACTACTAAAAATGTTGTCTATCAAGAATTTTTTCTAAATTTGTAATACCATATAATACTGTACTTTTACTATCTATTCAATAATAATGTTATTTATTTGTCATTTACTTTTCATGATATATATATATATATTAATGTATTTATTAAAATATTTTAATAAACATGTTCCGTGCATCGCACGGGTGAAGATACTAGTATTAATGAAATAAGCAATTTAAATCTTTTGTGGTATGAGTAATTTGTGGCCTCTTAGAAGTGCGTTGTCGCGTTCTAACTTGAAAAAGAAAGAAGAATAAGAATACGACATTCATCACTTGTTTTTTTATATGCGGTGATACTCGAGTCCGAGTTTTTATAGCTTAGCTCGTTAACAAAATGAGCTTAATTTTAGCCTATTTATTGATACTAACAAGTCGATCCCGAGTCATAATGAGCCGATTTAAAGAAAATTACATAAAAATTGTTATTTCCGATCTTAACGAGTTGAGTCGAGCCGAACTTACGAGCTGCTCATTTTATTCAACAACCGTTGGATCGACACAACGGTTGGGATCCCGTCTTTCTGCTCATTTTATTCAAAGTTTTACTTGTTCTTGATTATGAAATATTTGATTGACTTCACAAATTTATATAATTTAATAATTTTCAGTTACCTAATTAAGGTTCTTCTAAGCTGAAATGACTAATAACTCTAAGTAAAATAATTTGATGGGCTATTTCTTGGTTTAAGCCCAGTTTAATTAGTGTGTAGCCCATTCCAATTTGTTTTAAGCCCTAAGTTTTATGGGTGGGTAGGAGAGCATTACGGTAGAATTTTTTACGGCAAAAAAAAAATAAAAGAAAGTGGTGGACAAAAAAAAATAAAAAAAATAAAAAAAGGAGGTGGAAAGGAATCAAAAGCCCGTATTCCTTGAATACGGTTTTTAGAAAACGTATTCCGTGAATACGTTTTCCTTTGAAAAAAAATGTGAAAAAAGTATTCAGTGAATACATTTTTCTATTAAATTATACAGAAAACGTATTTTGTAAATACGTGCTTTCTATGTTGGTCCACTCTCCTTTTTTTTTATTTTTTGTCCACTTATTATTTTTCTATTAATAAATATATAAATCGCCCGCATTACGGTATGTAAGAATAATTAAGATTGAAATGTCGGTGCTTGAATCCAATAGTATCCAACGAGACCAGGTTAAGCATTTGGAGCTAGTATTCGATTATGTTTGTAAATTATTTATATTTGCTCATTTATTATTAGAGTAAAGATCCGTGCTCATTCGCGCTCGAGATCGTTTTTGTTCATCAAAGTTCGCGTTTGATTTGTTTATAAAATAATGTTAGTGAACATTATCGGGCCCATATTCGTTGGACTAACAAACAAACCTAATTTTTTGTTCAAGTTCAACTCAGTTAATAAACGAACGAGTTTTTGGTCGAGTATGAGTTCGAGCTTCTGTTCGCAAATGTTCGGCTCGTCTTTAACTCCATTTAATTTGGTCCAATATACTTTATGGAATTCAAGATTTTCAGATGGAGGATGGAAAAAACATACATGATCACATATGAATGATTTTGGTACAAAATCAAGAGACTTGAAAGAGAAACATAGAATCCATTTACCTCCAAATC